GTGTATAACCTTATATATCTCCTTGTAGCTCCAGTAAACAGTAGATACCCGGCGCTGCTGGTACCCTCATCAGAAATATTTATTCAATTCATTTCAGCCTTTTATTGAAATGATTTGCGTTATGTGTTACTTGTCATGTTCGCAAATGGGGTTGGATGAATGTCGTGTTAGTTGAATAAGTACTGATATGCTGAATATTATATAGATGTTTGATTTGTATTGAGAAGGCGTAAATTAGGAAAATCAATGCCGTCATTTATAAAACAAATCTGTATAATACTTTGTAAGGCAGTTGCCTGAGTTTCTATTTTTTTGTCGACACCGAACAACCAACTAATTTTATCAGAAGCATTTAATGGCAGGAATACGGTCGGAGGTTTCTTGGAACTTTTCAGGAGCCCATAGATCGAAGCGAGATCACTTGGGAAGGTTGAGCTGCTTCAGTTCTTGCATAAACTGTATCACGAGATGTGTGATGGTGTTGCGAATAGTACGTTCAGTAGGCCGATTATGTTGAACATAAGTTGAGCGAAGCGCGTAAAACACATCCTATAAAGAACGGGAATTTTCGTAATAAAGATGAACGATTTGTGTACGTTGTTCAGGCGTAAGTCTCATTCTCATTTCTGTGGAATACAAATAGAGAAAGAAAGAAAGGAAAAGTGAGAGTGAAAAAAAATTAAGTATCATATAACGGCAAATACAAAACTCACATACACAAAAAAAAAACCTAAAAGAGTTTGCAAAGAACTCATTACAAAAGAAACTGAAGTTAAAATTCATTAATGACGATTACATACGCATGTGCAACCAACAACAACAATAAAGCAATTCATGTTTAATTATGTGTTCGTTCGTTCCTTTGTTTGTTTTTTTGTACTTGTACGCGCATTTGAGTGCTTTTCAAGGGATTCAAGTGCATACTTATTTTAAGCGTTCACGTCTACTTTGCTTTTGGTATTTAATGTCAGATAGAAATCTCCAAAACTGATTAACTGGTTCGCGTTTATTCAGACAGATGGGCGGATAGGATGAACATGGCTAAATCGACTCAGCTCGTCACGCTATACCCTGTTCAGAGCCCGGCCAAAAAATACTTCCTTTGGTTTATTTTGTTAATCTCTAATCTCGACAGATTGCCGAAAATTGGTCGGCTTTGTACATATTATATGTTGGAATGAAGATATACCGTCCAGGTGTTAGACGCTAAAAAGAGTAACAGCTAATAAGTTACAGTTAGGAGTATGATGATCGTCCTCTCGAAGCAATGAAAGCATGTACTACGAAGGAGCTAACTTCAGCCCAAATACCCGACGAATCCAGAGAGACTTCCATTCATTAACAAACTTCTAGAAAATCGGATAGGCTTTTGGTTAAATGTTATTCCTGAATATATTTATTACTTTACGGTTCTTGCAGAACTGTACGATTTTTGTCTGATTAAGTGGTTAAGCCTTTTCTATTGAGTTTTTTTCCAGTATGGATGATTTATTTCCATTTGATAGTATAAATAGCCTTCTTCGATCTCATAATTTCAGTATAATTCATTAAGCACAACCTTTGACAAGATATTTGGGCTATGCAGATTAATCAATAGACCTTTCTTCCTCACACATCGATGCCCTATTTCCTTTATAGCACAGTATAATGGAACGCAGCATCTATGGCGTCTAGCATACGGGCGTCTTGTGTGTTCAAAATTATCAATCCAAAAATTCCTTGTCAAAATTAATTTGGCGCATCTTGAGGAACTCAAACCTTAGTTTCACTAATTAAGAGTAGGAAGTCTCAAATAATATTTGCTAACTTTTCGAATTTCTAAAAGGGTATACCCGGCCCTTTTTAGTGTCAAAAACATTGCAACATTTTGTATAACACGCAACTACAATATAAATACTTGGCTATCGACACACTAAACGTCAATCTTGCATGGCTCTTGCGATGCTTCCTAGGTAATATTTTTTTGTGTTGTGTTGTTGTTGTTGTTTATCAGTCAATTTAATTTTGCCTATATTGCCAGTGGAGTTCTGCGTCAACTTGTGTTGGATGCGGCGGCGATAAACTTATGCGCATGTGTGTGTGTGATGTTGTACACCAGGAGTTCACCGGTCGGTAAAATTTTATTTTAACATATGATTTTAAAAATAAAGAAATAAAAAGAAATGGGCAAAACGGTTACGCCTTGTTTGTTTTATTTTTGTGCAGTTTTTATTTGCTGATTGGTTGTCTAACTTTTTACCACTAGACTTAACTACAACCACACACACACTCATCCATACATGCATACATCCATAGCTAATGACTCTGTGCACATGTGACTCGGTGTTTAAATAGCTTTGGTCGGTTGTGGCAAATAATAATAATAATGTTTACAACAAGGATATGTGCAAGGAGCTGTTGCGATGGTGGATGGTCGATGGCCCAGTAAGCCGTTCAATGTTCTAAGCTGAAACTCTGAACTCTCGCAACTCGTACCGCGCAGGAGGAAACATTTGGCTAACCAACCCGCAGTTGACTGTTGATCGCCGGTCTTACTTTGGTAATGGATGGCACTCTTGGTTCGGAGTTTTTCACTTCTCTTTCTGAAATCACTAAATTTACACTCTCATAGACTAATGAAAAGCAAACAGTTGAGTAGATTAAAATTTAACTGCGGTTGCACTCCTTGCTTTTAGAAAAGCTAACGATTAAAGTTGCTGCAAATTTTCAACTTTTGCGTCAACGCTTACAATATGTGAGCTAGTTGACTTTTGAGACTAAAAAATTACAATGAGGATTTCACCTCTAAACTCTCATATCGCCCTAAGTTTACTCTGCAGTAGGTGCTTTTTCAGCTTCCGCAAACTCGGTTGAATATGAAAAATAAAAAAAGGATTGTGTGATTTTATGAAGAAACGGTTAAAGTGAAACTTTTATTAACATTATAGGCATTTAACTAAAAATCGCTTCATCAATCTTATTATTATACTTGATAAATGGAAAATAATAAAAAAATAGACTACTGGGTCTTCAACTAATATTTTTATTGAACTCTGTGTCTTAGAGTACGACATGCATAATACTTAATATTTATTTAGCAGATATACACACATTCAAAAGTTTCACTTTAAAAACTGAAAACAATATTTTATAATCGTTGAGTCATTATGATCCGTTTTTTAATTATTTTCAATCATTCTATATATTATCAATTTCATTTTCATCATGAGTTTCACAGTTTATAAATGTAACCAATTTTTAATGGTAACTAAAATTTTTTGTATACAAGTACATTTGGTATCACAGGAGTATATTGTACATATATATGTTCAAATTTACCTATTTCATGATGAATTCGATAAAATCTCCAGGAATATAGCATTAAGTAAGGATGTATTATTACCTTAATATTTAATTTATATATGTTTTATACATAATATATATGTTTATATGCATATTTACTTGCTGTGGTCATTAAAAGTTTTGATAACATTTGAAAAGACCAAGCGGTATGTATATGGATATAATTATGTGTGCATATATACACTATTTGCTTCATGCGAAATTTCCGTTGACACGGACAACCAATGGCCAAAGCTCACGGGTTTTGCTTTCATGTCAAAAAGTAAATTAGTCGAAGGCCTGACGCGACGACAAAGCGTTACAACATTGTGTTATTGGTAAAAAATCCGAGCTGTGTCGAAAAAAACCAATGAACGATCGCCAATTGTCACCGTTTCCTTTGCCGCTCCAACAGATTTGCCCATAAACCATCGTAATTATGCGTGTATATGTATGAGCATGTATATATATCGATGCAGATTTTTGCGAGCCATGGACAAATTTTAGAATTGTAAAATATTTTAAATAGACAAGAACCATGTTGCCATTTTTGTATCCTTTTTCTGTATTTGCGGGATTGACACTTTTCTCTTCCAGAAGGAACGTCAATTTATGATTTTTAGCTTTTGCCATCGTCGCGAAAAGACGCTTTTAGTCGAACGAATGCTCTAGGAGATGTGTATGGCGTATACTTTGCGGTTAACATATTTACATGTGTACGGATATGTGTATGTGTGTTTGTGTATCCATTATTTGTTCGTCAATGTTGTGCACACATATGTATGTAAATATGTATAGAGCAGTGCGCGCACATGTTATTACTGATAAGTGGCGAGACGTAAGCGTCACGCGACATGCAACACACTGAAGAAAAAGTTTGAGACGATGCAATAAAAGTTTCACTTTAAAAAAACAAATGGAATCATGAATTTTTGCACTCGATTTGCTAGGAACAAGTAATAATGATCATGTACACAACGGCTTAAACTAAAATTTTTACACTGCTTCCAGTATATAAATAATAATTTAATATCACATCTTCATCTTTGATTGCTGTTCAGACAGCCAACTAATAATTTTCGACTATGCACAACGACCAATGGCGGAAAGTCTAAAGACTATAAACAACAACGGAAAACTCTGGTGCACAATGTTGTCACGACATTGTTGAATGTCCATTATTTAGATCAGTTTAAAAAGTATTTTGGTATGGACTCTACTGATAACTGACTCCTAAATCTACTCCAGCTGCTTTCTTCTCAGCGCACGTACCTAGGAGGGGTATTTGGGCGGGTGAAATTGCTGAAAAAGAATCTCGGTGAGCTTTTTAACAGATGGATCGAAGTTCAGGGAAAAGGTTGCATATTTTGGAGTATTTTGCTGGGAGCTCTCAATCAACTATACAAAATCTTAGACAACGAGATCACTTCAGCTTTTTCCAATCAGCCACCTATCTCAGTAATCATACCTCTGGCGAAGTGGGCATTTCAACAAATATTTTACAGGATCAGAGTGCACTGTCCATATGAGGGGGCTTTTTTAATCCATACTCAGTAATTCTTGTCAACGAACCGGCATTCTTGGCAGGTCATCTCACGTAGATCGGCCTAAATATCTAGGTAAACCTAACCTCCTAATAACATCCCACTAAAGATATCCAAATTCTATGACAATTTGTGTCAATCGAATTTCACTTTATTTGGAAATGCTTGATTAATTTCATTTTACATATTTCATTCGTACGTTTAAAGTTGAAGCAAAGTGTACGTTTTTATTTCATTCAATAACATATTAAGCACATTTCTGTACAATTATTGCCTTTATTAAAAATGAAAAATACAGCGATACATAATTTAAATTTGAGCCTTAATGTGCGTTACTTTTTACCGATTTGAATAAATCTAAAATTTTACATAATTGTAGGCTTATATGTATTTGAAATTCATATTTCTCCTCACAATTGTACCCACAGCAAATGCGAATTGTCTGGTTTATTTCAGATTTTTCGAAGACGGAGCCGGTCTGGTGAGAGAGCAAAAGTTCGAAAGTTCAAAATATATGTTTGTGTGCACCTATATATTTTCAAGAGTCAGTTGTTGATGCATTGCTATTGCCACAATGTTGTACCTACTGCATCAACAACAACAGCAGCAGAGACAACAGTTCGGTGCAGCAGTAGATGACGATTCTAGTTGTGTGCGAAATTACTATACAAGTATTGTATGATTGCTCTGTCTCACTTTATAAATATTTAACGGCACTCGTTTGATTTCACCCGCTCGTCTCCGTTGCCTTACCGCAATAACTCAGGCCAGCCGCGACTGGCGGAAGTTTTGTTCAAGTGGTTATTGATTGAATTTGTTCGAAATTGACTCCGTGCGCCTCCTTCAGTGATTATTGCTTGCAATATTATTTGCTACTTCTATTTTGTATTTGATTTTTTATGTTAGTGGCAGTGGTTTCACTTTTTTTTTTTACTTTAATATGCATTGTTCATGCTGCAGCTCATGTTTTCAGTTTAATGTTGATACCCTTGTCAGCCACTGGCTCCCACAGAAAACATCAGCTAAAGTTAGTAAAACTACAACTCCTTCAACAGTTTTTCTTGAAAAATGTCATGACATACACCTGATAAGCTGTCAGAAGACGATCACCTGAAATTCAAGAGAAAAATTTTACAACGGCAATAGCAAAAAAAATTTGGAAATAAAAACAGTTTTTTATTTATAAAATGAAATACAATTATAAATAATTATAAAATATAAAAGCAAAACTATACAAAATATATATAAGCACTAGCGACAAGGCGACACTTATATTGGTTAGCAAAAATTCCCGCAGAACCCTCCTCGAGGGTGCCGACTGGTAATAGATACCATAGTATCCCGACGAAGGCAGGAACGGGCTGGTAACGCTTCATCCCTGTTACCGTTGAGAGATGTATAGTTAAGGTCTGACTCTTTATCTGGGTGTTCGTTGCTCCTCAATTGCGCCGCATTCATATGGGAAGTTTTACTATGGTTGGCGGTACGAAAACGGCTGAATCAAGGTGTCATGCGACCCAATTTTTTGCGAAGGAGCTTCAAGAATCCATCGATTCAGCGAAAGCAGTCCCCCCGACAGGAGGTGATACTAACTAATCCGGGTTCGCCACCGTCATGCACAGATGCCGGCTGATACCAGGGCCAAGTCAAAATGATTGCTTGCGACTACGAGAGATCAGTCGAACTCTATAAAGCCGCTATATTCAAAGTAGGGGAAGTATATTCTGGAGCTAAATTAGTGGCAGTGGACAAAAAGAATATCCCGTCCAGGAGGGGTGGATATTCGTTAAGGCCTTCGAGAACCCCGTAGCAGAATCTGGTGTGGAGACGAAAAGGTCAACAACTCAGATCCTTTTGTTGTCAATAAAAGAATCCATCAAACCGCTGATGGAAGGTTAGAATCATGACTTATAAGTCGGAAGCCAATGCTGCGGACCTATCATCGGAAAACTTTTATATAGTCCTCAAGGGATATTAAAACTATAGAGCAAGGTGAGTGTTCTTTGGGGTCTGAGCTTGCCGACAAACCGACAATTTATACTGAGGGAGAGTCTTGAGCGATTCACAGGAAGACGCAGATAAAAAAATTCTTAATGAGTATTCTACAAATTAATCACCATCACAGCAAACTAGCTTCAGTAGTCCTAATTAACCGCGTAACAGCCTGAGTTTGTACTCACTTAGAAGCCATGTGTTAATAGGAGTCGTATTTGCGGACTGAGGACACCGAACTACAAAATAAGGTCAGGGCATGTATAACGGCTCAGAAAATCCTTGTGTTTATGCTACATCGTTGGGTTAACCATGACACAGCAGAAGTAAGCTGGGAGACGAGCGCAAGTAGTTACCGGCTGGTTTCAGGCTATATGCCACACATGAGGAGCAAGTATCATATCAGCTGGTAAAATAGCTGGTACGGGATAGGGAGACATCCAAGTGCATGACTAAACTTGGATGTGGCTAAAACGCGCACCACGCAATATGGGGCAGCACAGACGTCAATGCTACAGGTGAGTGTCTCTTTAATTACTTAGACACTAAGCTTTGTTGTGCAACAGAGGTAGTATGCCAACGTTTAACACAAGAAACCGACAAGAAGTATTATATATCACACTTGTGTCGAAAGAACTGTAACTGTATAGTGGATCTAACATCATATTTCACGATAAATCTACCAAGGGTTCCAGGGCATAGGGATATCCTTGGTAACTGTGAAGCTGATTAACTAGCCAGAACAGGCACTAACCTACAATTAGACTCTGAAAAAGAGGGAATTTGTATGCCTCTGGCCACTTGTAAATATCCTCATATAGACCTATGTGAGTCGTCCGACAGCCACTCTACCGACCTACCTACCTACACTTGTATACAAAGCTAACTATTATCAAAGTTTGAGATAGACTAAATATTACATTTGATATCTAGGTGATGAGATTATTGTCCTTATCCAGCCATTTAGCGGCGTACTGCAGTGGGCTTTACAATCAGTAATGCTGCCGGCATTGTTGGCGAATTCGGTACACGATCATGGCTCATGCGAAAAATTAGGTCTTTGATTGTCAAAGTAGTTGGAAGCGTCTGCAAATATTGCACTAAAAATAAATAAAACGAAATAAAAATTAAATAAATAGAAAACGCTATGTGGCAGGTCAATTTGCCACTTAGTGAATATGTGTATTTGTGTGCCAAAGAAATGTACGTTGAATGTGAAGATTGCTGATGTTAACTGTAGATAAATGTAAGAGATCTGCGGGCAGGACAATTCCCCCGATAATGCTGCTGCTAAATGCTTAAGAAACAAACAGCAATCATGAGCAAGCGACCTAGATATTTTCATTATTTATTTCTTTCACAAATATTTATTTTATTAACAGATTGTTTTACTCCCTTTGCTGTTTTCAAATGTTTACTTAAAACCCTTTTATATGTTAGCATTACTGTCGCTCGGGTTTCAAATATTACCAGCTTTGCTGTACTCAACATCTCAGACAGTCTTGGTATTTTAGAAAATCCCAGCAAGTTCTTACAACATCGCTGGCTTCGTTTTTTATGCTCCAGAAATATCTTTTAGAAATCCCAAGTAAACAGTTGCCGGATTATCAGGGCTTGCTCTGCATCCGCGTCGCTTGTGTGTTTGTTAGTGTGCGTGACAATTGTTGGTGGCAACAAGTTGATATAAAGACTTATCACACAAATTTGCTGGAGACATATTCTGGACTACCAAGCGCAATGGGGTCGAGTGCATACTTTTCAAATCTTACTTGCATTTTACTTGCATGCTACAAGCCTAGCCACACACACATAGTTGTACATACTCCCTTACAGCACTAACTTCAACCCTGATTTAGCAACTAAAAGCCGCGCGAGCAAACAGGAAATTGCAGGGAACAAATTGAATTAAGCCACTACGCTTTACAACATTACAAGTATAACTTGCCACAAACACAGCATCTACGACAGAAAGCATTCAAACAATTCCATGTGTTGGACACATATACTAAATATGGTGGGCCTAAGTAAGAGCGAAATCGCATATTAGAGCTTTTTTGCAATTTATTGGAATAATAAATATGTCAAATTTTTTGGAATATTAGCTGATCATTGCTTGATCTGGATGGCTAAAAATTAGCGTTTTCGTCAGATCAAATCGCTATGACTTTTGAAATAAATTACTTTCGTGTGAATTTAAGCATGAAAAGGGTTTATCCAAATTTCTTCCCTGAACTAAGTTAACCTCAAATTCCTGCAATGAGTTTCTTTTTATCCCCTGAACAGGGTATATTAAGTTTGCCACGAAGTATGTAACACCCAGAAGGAAATATAGAATATATACATGAATGATCAGCATGATGAGCTGTGTTGATTTAGCCATGTCCGTCTGTCTGCGTGTCTGTATATACGCGAACTAGTCCATCAGTTTTTAAGCTATCGATCTGAAGTTTTGCACCTGTTTAAGAAGCTGCTCATTTGTCGGAACGGTATAGCATCGGACCACTATAGAATACAGCTGCCATACAAACTGATCAATCGGAATCAATTGCTTGTGTGGAAAGCTCTTTCATTTGACGAGATATCTTCACGAAATTTGGCATGTATTATTATTTAAAGCATTCATCTAATCTCCGCAGAAATTGTATAGATCGGATGACTATAGCATATAGCTGCCATATTAACTGAACGATCGGAAGCAAGTGCTTTTATGGAAAACTCTTTTATTTGACGAGGTATCTTCACGAAATTAGATCGGAATCAAGTTACCAAGGAACCTTTGCTCAGGTGTACTTAAGTACAAAGCAAAGATATGGACTTATTAATTCCTAGTTTTGGTGTATTACTTTACTTTCATCAAGGTACATGAATTTGTATTTAATGAAAATGGCCTATTGATTTAAACCAATATATGGAATAAAGTTGTCCGAATAAGAGAAGGCAGGGTATTTTTACCGATATTATTTCTTGGTATAGGTTTCATTCGTTACGTTATTTAATTTTGCTACTAAGTTTTGAAAAATATCATTAAAAATGAGGTAACCACTTTTTGCTTGAGATTGTGTCAACCGCCTTTCGTTGAGATAAAACAGTGAAGTCTCTTCTGGTTTAGAGAAACTAGATGTCAAAAATGCTTAGTAAATTTATGAAAATTAAAGCGACGGCCTAGAAGCTTCAGATATGAATGGATTGAAATCGGCGAGATTTTCTCGCATTATTTTGGTGTGATATACAAAAGGAGGTAGAGGTGGGATATGTTCCGGTGTAACCGTACATTTTATACTCTTGCAACTTGCAATGTTCCAATTCAGGAAATTTTCTTCAAATCATTAATTTTATAAATATATAACTCATACACTAACCGACATATTCAGCATAGGGTTTGTTAGAATATCGCAAATCAATATGTGTAGATTTGTAGTATTTGGGAGTTGGGGTACTTTATAGACTAAATTCAAATATATTCGGCATTAAGCTATAGTATGTCCAATATTATACGTTCAGTTAATTTCCTTAAGATATCTTACACATTGAACAGTATATACGGTATAAAGACAAACGGAAGTTTAAAAATCTTATATATATTAGGCATATGAGAGATAGGGATAGTATTGAACCGCTTTTAACCATTTTTGTCATTAAGATAATTCATATATGTTATATATTTGTTATGTTTATATATATATATTTGTCATTACCACAGAAAAAGATGATATCTGAATTTCATTAATGTACATCAAATACCATCACCAATATATGCGGGATAAAGTCCTGATATTAGTTATATGGCGGCTAAGGTAAGTTTTAAAGATACATTCTTTTAAGAAAAACACGCTCTTTTAATTTTATTAAGATAATTCATATATTGACCGATATTTGCAGTATAAAGTCAAACGGAAATTTCAAAATGTTTCTGTTAGGTATTGGGAACAAAAGGATTTATTGGTCCAATTCAACCAATTTTTGACACACGGGCATATTAATATCAGAATAAGATTCTCCCAGCGTTTCCATAATATATCTCACAGAATTATCGATATTTCTGAGAAAAGTTCGCAATAGGAACTAGGGTCCATAAATGCGGCACCTGGGAGCTTGAATAGTTTTATTTACGACCTGTAACATAGGCATATCACTGAAGTTACTTAAAATTGGTAGAGTAATTTTGCAGATATGTCATTTCACTTTAAAGTGGGCGGACCACTCCCATCGTCCATTTTTTGTATTGGCTCCTATAAAGCTCAATTGTCATGTGTGTAAACTCCAAAGTGTCTGACTTGTTTGTTAAAGAAGTTATTGTACTTTTAGTAGTTTTAATCGGAAGTAATCGGATTACAACCCCGCCCTCTTCCCACATAACGGTTTTGTCAAAAACTATTAAAAGCATGATTAAAAGCATGATAAATCAATAACCATAGATTCAGCGACATAAAATTTTATATCCGAGAATACGAGAGAGTTTATGGAAACTGGTTTCAAATTTGGACGATGGGCGTGGCAGCGCTCACTTTTAGGAACTTGCTGGTATGTAACATTACCCTGAAAATCCTATGTTATGGTGTGAAAATGGGCGCAATCGCACTATAACCACTCTTACTTTCATCATAGTGAATTTCATATAATTCTTTCACTTTCCAGTATACAAACCAAGGACTAATCAATGTGTCTGGATAAAACTTTGTACAATTAGTGCCCTTAAAATATTTCATATTACGCCCAAAAATTGTTAAGATAGGACCATAACTTTCTGTTCTATGTTTCTTTGACAATATTGACAATGCCCTTGTGTCGAATATAGGTTGAATCGGATCAATAATTCTCCCATATACCTAATATAAAAATATTCGAACTTCCGATTGACTTTATATCACTTATATCTGCTTATGTAAGAGAACGTGTTTTTCTACAAAACAACAGTGCATCTTTATGCCTAAAATGAATAAAATCGGGCGAGAACTTGCCTTAGCCCACATATAACTGATATTCACGATTTTGAAACGTTCGGCTGCTTTTACTCTATATATATGTTTACATTTATAGTTATATTTAGAAAATTGCTAGAAAATAAGTTCTTAAGTATACCTGAGCAATGTATAAAATAATGAATCAGCCCTTCCATTCTCTGCCCCAATGATTTTAGTATAAATTTCGCAGACGGAAAGTAAAATATAATAATAAAACTAATGCAGGCTATGACCTTCAAAATAACTTAATATGAAACCAAATTTGATTGTAATACATTTACGATTTCGTCGAACAATGAAGTTGAATCATTTCGCTTAATTTTTTTAATATGAAATTTTCGGTTACCCCCGAACTAAGCCCTTCTTTACTTGTTTAATTTTTCATTACCGTTCAAAAAAATTCGAATCAACGGTTAAATAAAATGTTTGAAATTTTATGAGGTTGATAGACGAGTGAACTTATTGAGAAGATGGAATCAACTTACAAATAAGAAACGAAATTTTTTTGCAAAATTGCTATAAGAATTTAGCATATTTCTTTAAGACTATAAAATATTTACCTTGACTTAAATAATTAGTTTATAAGAGTATATACTTTAAGAAATATTCCTCGGTGAAGTTGGAGAAATTAATCAAAATCTTAAGAGAGTTATTCACGAATAACGGATTTACCAGATGTGATCTAGCGGCAGTTCCAGTGTTGTAAAGTTAAGCCAATTAATAAACTTGTATTCCTTACTTTTTCTCATTTTTCCATACAAAAGGTTCAACTTTTCTTGTTTACATAAAATGAACATTTTTTACACACATAATGAGTTGTAAGTACGAATGACGGTTAAAATGCAATATTATAAGTAAAGCATATGGTATTATACTTAACCTACAAAAAGGTGTATTAATGTAATAATACTGATTATCCAATAGTTTTCGTACTTTTAGCTGCGTATTAGGGTGGGCCATTTTGTTTGTAATATGGATGTTTTTAGCAATGGGCCGAAAACATATGGCACTCATAGAACATTATAGTTTTTTCTCTTTAAATTGACATAATATCGAATAAAAACCATAATTTCATTAAAAAAATTTAAGTCAAAATTTTAGATTTTTTAAAAAGTAGCCCTTATATAATATTTGTGAAATTCTCTACGTTGTGATGGCATATGTTGTGATGGTATATAACATATAATATATACGGCACTACGAGAGTATAAAAAATAAAATTGTTAATTTCTTGTGCCAATTCTTGTTTCCAAAGCTATAAATGGTGCACTTTTTATAACTCAGGTATACTGTTATTGCAGCAGACTTACACACTTTTACGAACAGACACACATACACCCACAACAATCTACTCACTTCTACTCAGTGTTGCCCTGCCACAGAAGCTTGTTGTATTAAAACATCACCAGCATATCACAAACGGAACACATAGGCACAACAACAACACAAAAAAGCATTGCTTATAACAAAATCGCATAAAAAGCGTCCAACCTGCCCGCCATACTTTACAATTGCCTAACTGCCGCACTACCCAGAAAGCCTGCCACAGCAGGTTTCCTCACAACAAAACTTCATGTGTGGAACTGATGAGCAGCCTCACAGCGGTATAGGTAGAGATAATGTTTGCTTTCTTTTTGATTTTAAATGCTGTTTTGCATGTAAACGGCAGCTGAACTGAAAGCGCACAAAGGCATGTTACATGAAAATTACAAAAAATGGTACGCGTGTGTTTACATCAGGTTTATGGTAAATCCACATCCAAAATATGACTTAGTTTGTTCTATTACAATGTGAAGTAATAGCACACACTGTTAAGGTGCACTACCGCAATGTACAGGCCTCCGAGCACTCTTCTTTTCTAATCCATAAATAAATCCCTAAAAGTTTTATATTCTTGCATTTACATATGTACATATGTATATCCTCTGTGAAATATTTCAAACAGTATGGTGTCAAGAATTCAATTACCAATATGGCAATCCCGCTCTTCGTTTCCATGTAGCTATGAAAATAACGCAAATATTGTTATGCCGATTTAATGAAATTTATAAAGAGAATTTGCATTTACATAAATCATATTTCAGCGATATGAGCATGATGTTGCATAATATTTTTATATGTTTCAGTTAAAGAGACTACTTGTAATCATCTACGACATGTTGAATAATAGCTCCAACCAAGAGACCATGCGAATTATAACGGCGCATATAAGTATATTCGAATAAGACAATGGAAGTGAGTCAGGATATTATATGATAAGTTGGCAGTAACTCTCTAGAAGTTTCCAAAAAACCTGCTTGTTATATCACTCATGAATGATTGAGCATGCGAAAGCCTTGTGCAAAATGAGTGCTACGCTATATTCATAAATCTGCTCCTCAGCTGTTTTTTTCTGTTCTCAGAGCTTAAAAGAATATACGCGGACCAAAGTTAGTTTTTTTACAAGTCACCAATCGTACTAAAAAAATATTATTGAAAGGTTTCAAAATTACTGAATATGGTGTACATCTCTCAATGATAGGTTATGTTAGACTCAGTTTCGACGATCTATGTGGGGAATATTACGAGGATAACATTGGAACAGTAGAAACAGCGGTCTTTTGTGATACCAAAACTTTTAGATTAACCGACGAAGCTGGAAATTTTAACCATACCAGCAGGCATGTCAACAACAAACTAAACACCAAATTTCCTCACTAGCAAGTTAGTTTATCGAAGGAAACCAAATTTTATACATAGCATCACGACGATTTTTTAAACATATATACGACCGTTTGTATGTACGAATGTTGAACGAAATATATCTCCTATAATTTTCTGACTAATATAAGATATATAGATAAAAAAAAACTACGGGCATCATAGGTTGAAAGTGAGCGAAGTGTTTAATTTCATTATTGTATTTAATATTATTTTTATTCTATTTTATTTCAGTTCAGTTATCTTGTTATTTGTTTAATATTCTCGTTTCCCACATTTGTATATCAACAATTTATAACATGAATTTCGTATATATGAATTGATGCACGTCCATATGTTTTGTGCGATTATTTGAATCGGAATATTACAAATATCAATTGTTATCAAGAAAATTGCATGATCAGCTGATTTTTGTATGTATGTATATATATATGTGTTTGTTACAGCAGCAACCACCGACTGACCGAGTTAGAACTGTATTGCTGTCAATGTTATCATCAACATTTGCCGCCAATTAACTTTTGGCGCGCAAAAATTCAGTAATTTCATACACAAACACACATACACCTTCGCACTGTTACTTAAGAGGGCGTATTTGTGGGAGCGCTTTATTAACGGTGATTTTTCGAAGGCGGCAATTTGTGGGTGAGCGGCAGCATTTTTGGCAATACTCGTACATTAAATGTGACCTTGGGTGTAAATTCCTAGTATTTACGATAAATTTGTTGAATAACTATAGTTGTTGTTCTTGCTGCCATTTCACAAACATTTGCTGTCAGTGGAAAATGTCACATCAAATGCAAAATATGTCAGAAACAATTAACAACTCTTTAGCTCACCGGATAAAGGACTGTCGCACTGGCTAACTGACTGACAGTCACGGCAGACTAAAAGTTTTCGTATGAGATTTTGTTTTGTTGTTGTGTTTTTTTTCTACAAAAAAGAGCGATTTCAGTACTTGCAGATACACGTCATAGTATATAGTATCTATATAAGGGTCTGATTAAATATATAATATATACACAAGCAAAAAATGCACGGCATAAATATATGCATATAAGCACATATATATAGACACACACAAATATATGTGTGTATTTATATACGAGTACATGCAAATGTGTGTTCTCGCGCGCTTTTACAAAGTGCCCAAAAATGCACTATAAACACCTGCACACACACCACTGTAGCAGGTGTTATTGTTTTATATATTTCCGTTATAATTCCTTCTGTTGAATATACCAGTTTTGTTGACAACGCGACGATGACTGGCTTATATAGTGGTCTAGCGATTTCCTGCCAAAGAAAAGCCAAGTGAGGCACATAACAACAGCAACAAAAACGTACTCTTACGATTGTGGTGAATTTCGACTAAGATTGCTCTAAGGGAAAACGCGAGAGCACGGAAAAGATGATCTGAGACAGATTATTGCAATTGGAGAAAGCATGTGACTTAATACTGGAATTGGTAAGCAGTTGAATACAGAGAGCGAGAGCAATGAGCAGAGCAGGATTGAGAAACAACTTCGTGAGTGACTACTTGTATATACAGACATATCTGTTCCCTATATGTATCTTATCCAGATAGACGTTTATATATTTTACTCGTATATAGTATTTTGATATACATATATATAGTAAATAAGGTCGTCATGATTTTGACGTAATTTATAGTCTTTTCTAAAGCTGGATATTTTTTGAGCTTTCTACAAAATTCTCGGCAAAGTTAAAAACACTATAATTTTTATTTCGAAATTCTATTAATAGCTATCAAATTTAAATTTTAATAGAGAATTTATTCAAATATCGAACTAGGTAAACACACCAACTTCAAGCATCCGTTGATCCTTGTGTTAAATAAGTCATAGTTCAATTTTGGTAAGTATATGGTAAAAATAATAATAGTTTAATATTTTATGAAGAAGGTAAGAAGACTTCCCGATGAACCAACTTGAAACTTCGTTTAGATTAGAGCAAGATGTATGTATGTATGTACATACTAGTCGTATTCTTTGGACACAAGGACCCTGGAAGCTATTTTGATGAATTATAAATTGGAAATGTATACTCGTTGTTTTTTAAGTTATTTATTTATTCGAAGCCACTTAGTTATTTAAGATTACACCAGTAAGTATTTTTTTAGGTACTTACAGAAATTTATTTTTTATTTTTTAACGACACTGATGGACAATTATATTAAAGCGATAGCTGCACAAAAAGTTTTTGGCATATACTTACTGAAGGTCTATCATAGATTATTGTAGTAGTATAGTATTGATGATTAGTTTGTTATCAACAAAACGTTGTATTTGCTCTGTGTCCATTTACCCAAAATCGTTTTGGGCAAATTTCATCGGTTTATTTTTATACTTCCGAAAAGAAAGTGTATTGGGAATTCATCTTTAAATTCTCGAAGTTGGCCGGATATTGACTTTATTTTGTATAAATTTGGTATTTTTCTTGTTCTGACGAATTTCCAACTTTTTCACCTCTGATTAGATTTTTCAGTCGGAAGTCCGCAAGATTTAAATATCTACTTCTTCAATATCTAAGCTTAGGCATAACTTAATTAACTTTGCAAAGCTGTATACCCGAGTAAAAGTGAAGATAAATTCCCTTTGCTGGAATAATAAACTTTCTGTCTAACAAAGTTTGTATGTACAAATTCATTTACATAGGTGTTAATCCCCGCAGTTACCAGAATTTGCTAGTCAAAAGATTCTTACAGGCAAAGGACGAAATCTCAACTGGTTCAGCGAAATTTGAGCCTATTCTCAGCAACTCTTTTTGGACCCTTCGGCACAAACCTTTATTAATAAATCAACAGTGGTTTATTATATTTTTATTATTTTTCCTATATATCATATTTTCTACCTTGCCGGTTACTCGTCATCAGCTGATTTCCATCCGCACACCCGCACCACCTGTAGTGACCGGCACTTTGCGGATTAAACACGATCTTATGAAAGTAGTTCATAGTAAACGCATTTTTGTATATAAGTGCTTTTATATATTTAAATGGTATATACTTGTATATGGTATATAGCTTACGTCATATGTATGCTATGAGCTTTCACCGCTCTCTTACACTCAGGCACTTTATTACACTGTTACAGCTAGCACATAGGCGCTTAGTACGTAGTAGAAGCATACTTGCAGGCGATGAAAGTGAGCACGTTCCGCTCAACCTTTAAACGCTAAGCTGTCAAATATGTGCACTTTGAATGTGCTTTGCGAACTTTTGTTGGCTGCTTAAATAACCATAACACCTGACCTATACCCCGCACAACCCAACAAACGAACTGCTAAAGAATATGGAAACAGAAAGAACAACAACATTTACAAGATACTTAATAGTTGAGCCCTTTTCTTTACATTCGCCGGTGGCCTTTTAATTTTAAACACTATCTTGTAAGTGAGTGTGTGTTGGCGCTAGAGTAGGTCACACACAGGTGTTAACATAGTTTACAGGTAATATTCACTAAGAGTTCTTAACAGCCGCTATAACAACAACAACAAAAATTATAATAATAACAATAACAGTACTGCAGGAAATCAGTAACAGCAGCTATACAGGCAATATTAGCATTACATGAAAACTCTTTTAAGGTCCGTCGTAAAAATAAGCACATATTTTCGTACAAAAAATCTTACGAAACTTCTGGCACATTCTCACGTAGTTTATGACCTATCTGTAGCATCTTTGGCATATTTTATAATTTTTGTATTTTAAACTTGTTGCCGCCGCTGATTGATTGATGTATACAATATAATTATAATTATTTTGCTTAATAATACATAATGTACATGTAAACAAAGCTATTTGGAAACTGTTGCTTTTTGCTGTTATGATCTTCGCTTAATGCAATTGTTTTTTCTCTGCTTACTTTTAGGTGTTAAAACAAAGAATTCACATCTAACTAATAAAACAGTCAGTAGAAACAAATAGAGTGGTATAACAACGGTCAGCGTTTCTAGGCAACCTGAACTCCGATACAGAACGACAAAATGTAGGGCAGCAGTTGAGACAGTAAAAATACGGCTTCGAATAGTAAAGTTATTTCTCGTTCTCATATTTGCAGATAAGGGTCATATAAAATGAAGAATAATTAACTATAAAAAAAAAAAAAAAAAAAATCAAAATTAATAAAACTTTTCAACAATATATACACAAAAGTAAGTAAGAATTTTAAACATAATTTTTCAAAAAATTTGGAAACTTTTATGCTTTTTGGTACCCAAATATTTTAGCAAATGTTAAAATCATCTTAATATCTTATACTTTTGTTGTTTTTATATCAAATGGCAACGCTTTTAAGTACTAGTGCTTTATTAGTTGTCTGCTATACTCTAATATAAGCTTTGAAAAGGTCTTCGTATTGTAATTTGAATTTTATATTTTATTGTCATGTTAGGTGGCAACATCATGGTTCAGTAAAAATAGCTTTAAAATAACCATCATATTATTTATTGATTAAAAATACCTCTACAAATATTTAAATAGATGGCGTCCCCGTGTGGATTTTATAAAAGCATTGTCTATAAAATTTTACTAATGTCCAATACAAAAATTACAACATATTAAAAGTTTATTGGTGAATGTTTGTGGAATAGCTGGTAATCGCATAAAACAAACTTACATACAGCTTCTGGAGCTGGCATTGGGTACGGTTCTCAACCTTCCAGCAGGAACGCCGATAGGACAATGGCCTGGTAGAAACGCCCCCATCAGAGAGATGCTAGCTTTAGTGTGGGTAAAGAGCTCACTGGATCCGAGAAAAAAAGCTAGTAGAAAACGAGAAGCTGCACAAACACACAAGCATCCAGCAAGTTTAAATGCTCTTATTCAATCGTTCTATTAAGGCGAGTCAACTCCATCACATTTATTAAAGGTTGAAAGGCATAGAAATCAAAAAATGTTATCAGCAATTGTTCGGGGAAAAATCATTCCCTCATCATGACAAGGTATTCTCTTTTGTATTGCTACAGTTGCACATCACTTCCTATAATATCGCTAACAAAACGGAAAAGAGAAATATACAAAAAACAACAGCAACAAAATTTAAATCACCAAGAAATGAAGGAGCGCCACAGGATCAGTTCGTCAGCAAGACAATACGACGAGAAGCTGCTTAGCTTGCTGCAGACAAAATAAAAATTAAAACAAAGTTTTAAATGTAACAAAAACAAACCGTAATAATATTTTTTTTAATCAATGCGTTTCATTTATTTTTCTTTATTGTATAGCAATTTTTATTTTATTTTATATAATTTATAATTTTTCAAAATGATGAACCGTAAATGACGTCTATGCTCAGCCACGCATATGCGACACCTAACTCGAAAATTATTTATTTTTTTATTTATTTAACAGGAAGATAATTATAAATAATTATAAAAATAATAAAAACAAGAAAAAATGTTAACTTCGGTTGCGCCGAAGCTATAATACCCTTCACAAATACAAAGGCCCCCTACAAGAACTTGATTCCGAACGTTCAATTTGATGCTATGCAGCTATATGATATAGTGATCTGATCTGACCAATTTCTGTGGAGAATAATTTGTTGCCTTAAGCAATAACTCGTGCCTAATTTCTAAAGATACCTCGTCAAAAAAAAAATTTTCCATGCAAGCACTTTACTCCGATCGTTCAGTTAATATGGCAGCTATATGCTATAGTCATCCGATCTATACAATTTCTTCGGAGATTAGATTAACGATTTCTATATTAATACATGCCAAATTTCGTGAAGATACCTCTTCAAATGAAAGAGTTTCCCATAAAAGCACTTCATTCCGATTGTTCAGTTTGTATTGCAGATATATGCTATAGTGGTCCGATATCGGCCGTTCCGACAAATGAGCAGCTCCTTGGTAAGAAAAAGACTTGTTCAAAATTTCAGATCCATATCTCAAAAACTGAGGAACTAGTTCGCGTATATACAGACGGACGGACGGACGGATGGACCTACGGACAGACGGACATGGCTAAATCAACTCAGCTCGTCACCTTGATCCTTTATACATATACTTTATATGGTCTCCGGCGTTTTCTTCTGGGTGTTACAAACTTCGTGGCAAACTTAATATATCCTGTTCAGGGTATAAAAAGCACTAGCAACGCATCGGCTTGACGATAATATTATAAATATTCGGTAATTAACTAACCAAAAAAAATTATAAAAATCTAAACGGAAAGGCCTTGAGTCACAGATTAGTAATCATTAGAGTAAATATGATACAGTAATCCATTTTGGAGTAT